GGTCACGCTGTGTCTCTCCATCTCCACGTGCAGTTAACGAGTAACGACTCGGTACGACTCGGTAATTTCCGTTCGGCACAAGCGGCAGCGGAGATTCGCGCCGCGAGATTCGCCCGGAACAACCCCCTGGTCCCCTTCCGCCCCGCAGGAAACGGCAAACATAAAAGGGCCCCCCAGTGAATTGCTTCTGGCGAAGTTAAGCTACATAACGGGGCTGTTCAGCATAAACTAGTTTCGAGTCGCGAAGGAACTTCCGCTCGCACGGGTGACATGCAGGAGCGACAAAGTAAGTCGTCCTGTCTGAAGGGTGAACGTGGCTACAAGTAGCACTCACTGACAGAGTGTGTGTGTGTGTGTGTGTGTGTGTGTGTGTGTGTGTGTGTGTGTGTGTGCCGAGTCCCCAATGTAATGGCAACTGTTACCGGACGGGACGCGGATGGAGAGCCGTCCCTGGAACTGACAGGAACACTCTCGCCGCTACGCCACGCCACTGCAACACGCATGCACGGGCCAGACGCGCGGTGGACACGGCGCGCCGCGGTGAGCCAACCCAACTCCGCCCCGCAGCGCGACAAACCCTACGGACAAACGCCCGGGAGAGAGAGAGAGATTGACTCTGTAAAACATTAGCCAGCCCGGGCGCTATGCCGCTCTGCTGCAATGCGCGCCCCCGTCCATGGCGCGGTTGTTTGAAACTTCTCGGATCACTTTCGGTCGAGTGCCTTGTGAAAGTGGTGCGGGCGCGCCCGAGGGCGGGCCTCTCGACGGCAAGGGCCTCGCCGGAGGCCCGGGGCGGGCCGGCGGCCTGCATAACCCGTTCTCACCCTCTGGGGCGGCCTTTCCCAAGGCCGCGGCGCAGTCCCCTCTGACTTTGTTCATCTCGTCTTTAGTAGTTCCCCGACGACGTATCGCCATCTTTTATAGAGCCCCAAGATGATGCTGGCAACCGGCCCGACCACTATTCCCCGCCATTTTTCTCTGCGGACGCCCCACCCCGCCCCGCTCCTCTGCTCCTTCCTTCCTGGCTGTGAGCATGTAAAAAGAAAGGGGAACGAACGCTCCAGATGAAATTGCGAGCGGCTCCCGGCAGCGGGGTGTGGCGGGGCGGGGCAGAGCTGGGCGGGGCAGAGGGAGAGGGGGGGAGGAGGACCCAAGGGTCCCGCCGGGCCTTTTTGTCATTCATAAAAATGATGCAGCCTGGGGACAGCTATTGGCCAGCGGGGCGAGGGGCGGCCGACCATGTCACGGGCGAAGGGCGCCCGAGGGGGGCGCAGAGCTGCTGGGCTGGGGAGGCACAAACCGTGGACGTGAACAGTTGTGAGCGAAATACTTTTGGCGCTAGAAAGACGTGATAACTTGGGGTAACAAAGTCAGCGATTTGCGCGCCGGTATTTAGGCGCAGTGTTTCCGCCACGCAACGGGCGGAGCACTTGCAAGTGTACGTCATGACGTCGACAGAGAGTGCTTCGCAGGGGAAACGTTCAAGCAGCGACGAGCGGCGTTACGCAACACTTGACGTTGAGGGATGAATGTTCGCAGGTGCTCGGCGTGCGACAGCCTGTTCCCGTCCCTGATAGCGCTCGAGCACCACAAGGAGGAGTTCGAGCACTGGTCCGGAGACGAGCTCAGCGTGGGCCGGGCCTCCTGCGACGAGGACGACGAGGACAGCCTGGAGACGGTCTGCAGCGAGGAGCTAGAGCGGCTGCTCTGAGGAACCTGCTACCTGCTACAACTCTGTGCAAATCCATCATGCACCCGCATGTGCCGAAAATATACAAAAGTTTTATCGTTTTTGTACATAACTATATATAATTGTATAAATATATTTATTAGATAGTAACCCCGTCGTACATCTCGCAGTAGCAGTTCTATCTCTGTCCGGCACCCCTTGCAATTGCTCTCAGCCAAACCGTACTATCATTTCACCATGATTTCACTTAATAAATTAAAAAAAAAACAGTTTAACTAACAAGGAAAATTAACTTATCAAAGAACGAGAACGAGCTGTGTATCAAGGAGGAAAGCAGCATAGAGCACACACCATTTTACACACTCCTAAATCAACTCCTAATAACTGGTATGGGTATACCGTGTGTCAGGTGCTCGGTCATGTGCCAGAGTCAGGGCTACGACAATCCTAGTTTGCCTACTCGCTCGATCCGTAAGGAGCCATGGTCACAACGGTAGGCAAACCCGCAATACAACAGGGGAGTAGCTCTGGCACACAGGGTACATGAAAAGGGTGAAGGGATGAATTAAGCTAAAGTAATTGGGGGGTTGAACCACAAGCACCCTCGTCCCTTCCTCACAATAACCAGTCGCACTTGAGTCAAGACACGACAACTTGGAGTGGTTCTATTTCGGTGCACTTTTTTTTCGCGAATTCGGAAGTGTCTTTTCCTATTCGAAGGACTATTTTTGTACTGCTAGTTTTTTTACTTAGATTTACCAAATGTCCTCTTCCAAGTAATGGCTATGTCGTTGGTGTCAGCAACATGTGTCCACGCGCCGACTGGTGGTGTGCGCCCACGCACCTCTCCGCCGCCGTAACGGTCAGCGCCTCCTTGGTAGGCCTCATGTTTTACATCATCAGTCGGTAGACGGGAGGGGGAGGCGTCCTTTGCCGTGATCGTACTTCCTTTCGTGTGATCTATCCTAATTTTCCTAGTAAATTTTATCAAAGTATTCCTATTATCAGCCGGTATCTTATAAATAACAAATTACATAATTGATTAATTTCAAAAGTGATGGTCCCCCTTACTTTAATCCAGGGCACCCCAACAGATGTCCTGTCCTAGTTGTGATGTATTTTATTATCACAAGCGTGATACGATGGCTTGCACCTCTCAAGCTACCTAGTCCCCCATTAAGTACAACCACTAATGTTCAATGGAAAATGTCTGTAAATGAATGGGTCCGCAAATGTTCAAACAATATCTTCTGACTTCAGAAATAAAAAAAAACTAGCCAACTCCTCAATAAATAACAAAACACAATAAAGAATACCAAAATAATTTAATGCACACAGATTGAACAGAGAAAGGACAAAAGATGAATTATCCAACCAGGTATTTGGATGTAGCATATTTTACTGTAGTAAAGTGTTGGGACCAAGCCCATCTAGTTTGGATCTCTGTTCCTGTGAGAAGTGAGTGTGAGTAAAATGGATAAATGGAAATGAACGAGTGTGCACGCATGAGTGCTTAGAAGTATAATATCTTAAATAATCATGCACATATTATGTACTGTTGAAATTATTAGAGTTTTTGTCATATAATGTTAATAGTAATCCCTGAAATCATTTAAATTTGCATTTGATACTTTGATTAGAAGTAACATCATAAATATCATAATACAATGTGTGGTTTTTGTTGTCATTTTGGGACCTGCAGACAGAGGTAACTTCTTATGATTCCGATCAGGAATGAATGAACATATCGGACCATGAGCCTTTGCATTGTGGTTTGCAATACATTATTGTATAAAGTGTCATATCATTGCTTTTCATTCCAAAATACTTTTTTATTTTCTTGTAAAATGCAAGTTTTCATTACTTTAATTAAGACTATTCCAAAGCAGCGGAGGATTTATTTTCATATACCTTAAGAGCTGAGGTAAGAATAAAATATGGTTTTATTGTTTCCAAACAACCTTCAGCTAAAGGTTTTAAAATGGTTGTCTATGTCTTAAAACATTTCTGCTAGAGAGAGCGATGGAGAGAGCGATCAAACAAGAGGTGTATATGAATGTAATGCATGGATTTATGGATTTATGTGTATGTTTCATTTCATCTAGGTCTAGATATACAAAATGCCTTGTACCTAATGTATTTTCCCATTAAAAACTTCAAATTAACAAAAAGGAAAGTTAATAATGATGATAATAATAACAATAAAGCATAGAAATGATTGTCTTGGCAACTTTTAATGATCTCCTATGTTTCAAAACAAATTCACGCCTTCACTTACCAAAAACACGATATTCAGATCTAATGATAAAGACGTTTCTGTCAGCCAATTTCCAAGGTGCTGTCATCCCGACTGTCTTTAATACTCCCGCCCCCGAGCTAAACCTAACGACCGCAAGAGAGCGACACGGTGACGAAGTCCCTCGTGCGTGGGGTAGTGCCAAGCCAAGTTCTTCGTTCGTAAACAGGCTTAACACTCAGAGAAAACGTTAAAACGCATAAGGAACCATGCAAGATGCAACTGACAAAAGTCTCTGCACTTCACATCTAACTACTCACCCCTATTCACCCATTAGAAAGCATCAAAAACGGAAGTCTCGATAGCTTGAAGAGGTTAGGAACAGTCCGAGGGGTCACTGCCATGTTACATCACTGTCTTTTTAATTTTAACAGCTTGTACTGATTGTGTTCTCCGCCACGAGCGTTTGGAAATATTATTAAAGACGAGTTCTTCTTTATTTAGTAATTTAATAAAACTAGCCGAGATGCACTTCCCCCGCAATCTCAGCTTGACTTCATAAGACATTTATAAACAAACGCCCTCTATAGAGTACGGGTAGTTAGTTGTCCAACCGAACCAAGCGCAGAGGAAAATGGCGTCGGACGAATTGCCTGTTTGTGTTTGCGGCTTGGAAACTGGAAATGACCGGTTTATGATTGAATGTGACATTTGTAAAACGTGGTACCATGGAGATTGTGTTAAGATTTGTGAATACGAAGCACCGGATATCGGAAAATATCACTGTCCGCGCTGTGCACCCATCTACGGGCCGTCCACCTACAGCACCCCAGCGAATTACCATAGACATGACTGCAATGATGCAAACGCGGAAACAAAACCCGTGCAGACGGGTACACCAGTATTTATAACAGAATTGAAAACGCGACATTTCCCCGCTGCTGATAGTGTGGTTCAACGTCTGCGTGGGTCACAGGTAACCCTACAACACCTGCACCAGAACGGCTTTGATTACCCAATAGTGATTGAAGACAGAGATGGTTTGGAAATGAAAATTCCACCTGATGACTTTTCCTTGCGAGACATTGAAAAACTTCTTGGTAGTGACCGTGAAATAGACGTAATTGATGTTGGCAGGCAGGCTGATTTTCGAATGAAGATCCGTGACTTAGTGCATTATTATAGACAGCCAGTTAGAAAGCGAATACTCAATGTAATCAGTTTGGAATTCTCTAATACAATCATGTCAGACCTTGTAGATGCACCTTATACTGCACGCAAAATGGATTGGGTCAGTTATGTATGGCCAGATGATGACACGGACTGTGAGAAACCTAAAGTACAAAAGTATTGTTTGATTGGTGCAAAGGACAGTTACACTGATTTTCATATTGACTTTGGTGGGACGTCTGTTTGGTATCATGTCTTAAAAGGAGAGAAGGTTTTTTATCTCATCAAGCCAACCCAAGCCAATCTGTCATTGTATCAACGTTGGATGACATCATCAACACAACAAGACATGTTCTTTGGTGATCAAGTGGATGCCTGTTACCGATTGGTCGTCCGACGAGGAAGCACTCTTTTGATCCCCACAGGATGGATTCATGCTGTCCTTACGCCTTCTGATTCTCTAGTATTTGGAGGAAATTTCCTACACAGCTTCAATATTCCTCTGCAAATTCAGGTAAGCAGTTAATTACTGGAGTAGTTATCTCTATCCATCTTCTTTTGGGTGCATTACTGTTACTTGCTTGGTCAATGTATAGAGAAGAAAAATGTTTGGACCTTTGGGCAGAATTATGATAGATCCTTCCTATCTTATCTACATCATATTTTGTCTTTTTATTTCTTTTAGAGAATTGTTGGTTATAGCTATGGATGAAATTGGTATGGAAATACCTGATCAATCATGACTATTTTATTCTTAGTGTGGTTAACTTAACAACATTCTAGATCAACAATTTTCTGATTCATTTCTCATGCACTTAAAACAACTATACAAGGGGGATGTCCGAAATCAAGAAAACTATCTTTCTTTTTATTTTTATTTTTTTAAATGCTTCACCCTATTAGATACTCAGGGCTTGTAGATCTCTTTGCATACTTTCAATTTCTCATTAAAAATTAAGTCTGTTAACGGCCCCTTTGCGGTGCTGTTGCAGATTTACGAGATGCAACGCAAGATGACCCTGACGGACAAACCTCTTGTAGGTATCAAGCACACACAGAAGTGCTTCCCAGCCTCTAGCTTCTTGTGAAGTAACCTTGATTATGTATGTTGCAGGTGTACGAGATGGAAAGAAAACTGAATACACCTGAAAAATTCCTCTTCCCAGCATTTGAAAGAATCAACTGGTATGCTGCAGAGAGGCTAGTCCAGGAGCTTCATGATTGCCGTAGCAGTAATAGTCCAAAGTACATGACAACATTGTTGACCGGAGCCAAAGCCCTTGTAGGCGCTTTAAAACTATGGAATATTCGTAGGACTTCTGAAGAAATACCAGCTACTGTTAATAGTCACAAGCTTCTCAAAGATTTATCAAAAGAAATTCGATATACTGAACGCCATTTCAACCAACTCTGGCCTCCAAAGCCAGAGAGAGAATCAAAAAGACAGAAAAGAAAGCCACTTGATAAAGATTTTGTGGACTTTTCCACACTCAAAGAGGAGCAGGTAAAGCTTAGTCCAAAAAGAAAAGAACCAACTGTAATTAGTAATCCACCTCTCAAACTTCTCCTTCCTAAAGAAAAAATGGAATCATCCTTGGCAGGAACTCTGGCAAGTGTTTCTGGCTCTTTGTTTAAGGCAGAATCAACAGACAGTCAAGATAGTAGTGATTCTTCTTCATCTCGTTTGAAACTTAAGTTGAGCCTTCCCAAACCTAATCTTTATCCTTACTCAACTGTGCCATCACCTGGCAGTAGGAATTCACCCATATCATCCTCCCCAGCTCCTTTACGAGAGTCAGTACCTACACCAGTTCTAGTGACTTTAAAGAGTCCACATCCCCCTAGCCATCACGTCATCAAATCTAATAAGCAGTCAAGTAAGCGCGGGGTAGATAGCAAAAAAGAACTTGCCCGCAACCAGCATCACGTCATAGTTGAAAACCCCAATACCCCCTCGGCCCAGCATAGAGGTGGAACAATTTTAAGATTTAAGTTTGGACCGAAAGAGGCATCAGTTGAGAATAAGCAAATGCTGATATCAGATAATGATATTTATGATTTTCATGATAGTGATGAAGATAATCGTCTTTTAATTGACGAAAAGGGTGGTAATAAAAAGGTAAAAAATAATTTCAATGTTACTGTTCCTGATATGGATGCTGAGGTGTTTGGAGGAGATATGGAGGTTGCTGGAGAGGTGGATGTTGTGTCTGATGTTCCTAAAAATGGTATTGAAGAACTTTTGAAAGCATCTTGTTACACACTTGAGTCTACTGAAGATATGGAATCTGGACAGGCATCACAATCAACAAGAGAAGCTATAGCTGGCATGCTATCCTTAGGAAGTTCTACTTTTTGTAACCAAGAGACGATTTCTAGCCGCCCTCAACAGTCTAGACCCAAAGTTCTTGTGCCAGCTCGTAGCCAAATTCAAATGCTGGCAGAAGAACTTGGTGAACCGATTGATAAGGTTCATCAGGATGAAGATTATATTTATCCATCCTTAGATGCTTCTGATGATGAAGATGGTGTTTTTAAGCCTCGTGGTAAACGACCAATGGATGAAGCATGGAATCCTAAAGCAAGAGTTGGCCCTGTTGGGCCTAAAGTAAATCGTCCAGCGAGAGAAGGTGCTAAAAAGCAGTCTGTAGAAAAGGGTCTTGAAGCTGCTGCTGCTAAGCGAGCAGGGTTGCCACCACCCAAACGGCCATACAATAGGAAAGTTCAAAAGACCTCAGCAGATGTAAGTCTTGTCAAAGGAGAGCCTCAGCCTCCTTTAACACCATCAACATCCACCTCAGCTAACCCGCCTCAACAGACTGGCCAAGTAGTTCAACCAGGTAAACCTTCATCTTCTCCTAGTAAGTCATCAAGTGATTCTTCGCAAAAGAAAGCAAAGATGAGGTCCCACAAAAAAGGTATGGCTACAGCAAAGCAACGTTTAGGAAAAATTCTAAAAATACACAAAATGATTTATTAATTGCAATTGCACATCTAGTTCCTCCCTTGTTGAAGTATGTGATCTTTGGTTACAAAACCTTCATTGGTTCTACCCTCTTTTTTTTTATCTATGTATATACAAATATGTATAGTATACTTGTTTTAATTTGTGTTTAACTTAACGTAATTACTTCATTCTGGTTTACCAGTGACCAGATTGATTTTCAGAGTACAAATTTTTATTATTAATGTAATATATAGATATTTATAAATCCCCTACCTACCAGAAAATTTCTGTATCTATTCGTACTCATTATATATCAGGCTGCATTCTTGTTTTACACTTCATGATGTTTGTAGATGAATAAACTGCACAAAGACAATTTTAGTGTATGTGCAAAGGCTGTCTTATTAAGTAGTATTTCTTGTTCGGTTGCGCATTTTGCTAGGATTCGGAGACCACTAAATCATTTTCATTTTCACTCATACCCATATTTCTTTCCCATTTTTGTTTGTTAGTTCGCTTATTCGTTCATTCATCATCAGCAGCTTATCCATTCAATGCATATACGTTGTTGACTTGCTATCCATATTGCATCGATCTTATGTCTCAATCTCATGAGTATTTTCAGTGCTGGTTTGTACTGTACTTTTCACCACTATATCACAATATCACTTGAACTGTACATAAAAATTATATCTATCTATATTTTTTTTTTTAATAAAATAGCTTGATAAATCTTCAGCAGAGGATTAGACTGACCTCAGTCTCTAATGTGAAGTGAGTCCTTATGTACAAGGCTTTAGGATGATAAATGATTAACACAGTTTATAGTGTTTGAAAGTCCTTATTTATTGTTACTATGGACTCTAGTAAAAGGACTAAAAATAGTGTATGGTTGATGTCATCCAAATCTATTTTCACATTGGTGGATGGAACACTCTTAAGGAATCCTTGCTTTTGTGTGACCAATTGCTTTTATTACTATCTTTTCCTTTCTTGCTTCCAAGTTTATGTCTTAGTACTTCTTTTCATAAACATTTCCAGCAAAGAGGCAACGGTTATTCTAATGAGGTTTTTTGTGCAGCCGAATACTCTTGGTATTTGCAACACAATCATTATTGTTACTATTGGTTCTCTATTAGCTTGGATTCCGTGTGATTATTTGCCTGTTTATCATAATCCACTGTTTGTCTGTGATCTTGACATAGATTAATAAGTCACCTAATATTTTATTGTAGCGGATAGTTACTTGAACTTGCTGAACATCAGATGTGGTGGTGTTTGTTTTTTGTTTTCTTATAATCATGGACAGATATTTGTTACTTATTATTTATATAAGAGTCTAGAAGGATAGATGTCTTTGTATTGATATCTACAGTTTTAAGTAGATTTTTCACCCCACGTCCTGTTTTTTTCTTTCTAAATTCCTTTGTTATTTTCCTTTTAGTGGCATAAGCTTATAAATGTCTTTTCTTTTGACTTAATACTAGTTGGCTTTGAGGTGTTGTTCATTCAGTCTCCTAATTTTGCTTGTATGTGTGCTGCTGTGAGAGTAAAAAAAAACAAAAAGAATAACCAGTTACACTATGTGTAATGTATTTTCTCATATTTCTTATTCTGAAGGTTGCTGGCAATGTAATCTTGGAAACATATTCATGCTTGAAGAAGAAGGCTTGGTGGTAGTCGCTTTTAATTTCAACCTGTGAAATTAGATATTCCTGACCTACCCCTTGTTTGATTTTCTTCTAGAAGTCTGAAATTTCACTGCTGCAAGTGCACCAGAATATCACACTTAAATGCATTGTTTATTCTATTTTTATTTTTCAAACTGAAATGAAAATTGTCTGTGAGGCACTGCTTGCAAACTTATGGCCGTTTGTGTTTATATTTCTTGTTACTTCATGCTCATGCTGGAGTAAATTTTAATTTTGAATCATTTTTTTTTTTTAGTTTCAATTATTGTTGATTTATTTGCGTGCAATGAGAAGCATTGTGTCAGCACTTCAATAGTTCTGTGTGTCAGGGCTGCGACACAACAGTATTGCGGGTTTGCGTACCTAAGGAGCCATAGCGCCTTATAGGTAGAGTGAGTAGGCAACCTAGCATACTGTTATGTTGTGGCCCTGACACACAGTACAGAAAAACAATGTAAACGACTGTAAAATGATTGTATAACATGGTTGTTATGAAGTCCTGTACAATGGATTGTTTTGCTTGTGACTGCATTTAACTCTTCAGCTGGATTTAGTGTTGTATAACTAAAGCCTATGGTATTGCCATCAGATGGTGTATCCTAGGTAGTAATTTCAGCTTCACCTGACTAAATCTGCCTCTTTCTGTTAATATTCTGAAGAATCACCCCACTTATGAGGTTGACAGTGGTAAAATATTCCTAGCTGCTAAGGTCTCAAAAGATGTTCTAAATTTCTTATGCAGTGGAAAAGTGGTTTTTCTGTTTTATTATTAGTTGATTTATTTTTATATGTGCAATATACTATGCTTATCATTTCAAGTGGTATTTGTATCTGATGAATATGACAATTGATGAGAGTAGAATTGATGGTATAGTACAAGTAAAATGTTGAGTGCCACTCCATATGTACCCAAATATTTCTTCACATTATTTCTCATCAATTTGTCATGTGTTAAAGTTTGACTCGGTCCTTCTTTTTCCCACTTATGGCTCCCTTCTGTGTATAATTATTTGTAATGCCTTAATGAGTTTGTAGTTTGTAACTTTACTTTCAGATATAAGCAATGATTTGCGAAGAGAAATTATGCTTACATTTGTTACTGTAGACACACATGGAATTTATAAACTGAATCACCTGTTACCAATGAAAACTTGTTTTAAGGCTATTGGAAAGTTAAATATAGGATCTTGAATCACACTTACTGTTTCTGTGGAATTTTATAGCTCCTGAAATATACCTGTTGACAAAAGTCATGTTTGATGGGATAAAGAAATAAATTCTGAACTATATTTAGTGGCAATTTTTATATAGCCAAAACAATCTCACAACACGGCAGTAAATCACTGCAGCAAAAATAAAATGGATTACATTATGATAGCAAAACTGTGCAAGTAGGCATCAAAGCTGTCTTCTACATGACTACAATACTTCAGACAATAAACCTCCAGTGTCATTGTGAGAAATTACAAATTGGTGGCTACTGCAGACTAGAAACCCCAATATTCCCAATCACAGGGATAATTTAGGGCTGAACTATATGTACAGCAGCACTTCTCTTAATTAAAAAACAAAAAGAACATTGATGCCATTGCCATGCGGTTGGACAATGTCAAAAACTGTATGAGCATAGTGTTAATGGTAACATTATGGGACGCTATGGTTTTCTCATAGAAAAAATAGTCCTTGTCATCAAATAACAAAAATCAGGACTTTCATCAGAGTACCCCACAACCACAACAAAAATCAACTCAGTTTCTCAGTTGGCAGTGCTTACGAAATGAGATAATTAGGGAAGGACAACACACAGAACGCAGAAACACAACAAAGAAACAAGTAAACTTCAAGGGAACAACATTTTCTTTTTAGGTCAAAATGACATCACTGGCCTTAGTTTTGTCCCTGGTTTCTAAATTATTCAATTTATTCAATATCCAAGGTCACAGCTAGCAGCTATGTTTTTAACAATTGATAAAAATTTGTAATTTGTTCTCCTTTATTTTCTTGTATATACTTTCGTACCAGAAATTGCATCAATCAGTCATATCCTATAACTTTTGACCTAAAGTAATCCTCCCAATAATAAAGTCTAAAAGATGGCAAGTGCCATAATAACAATCAAAAACGGTTAAATTTTTGGATAAGATTAACGTTTTCTACGTAGAAACATATATTCAATAAATGATCTCACTTTCTAATAAAATACTTAGTGTGCTAAAGGTTTAAAATAAAATTTGGTTCTTACAAAGCTGCAATATTAGAATCATTCTGCAGTAAACATGATGTAAATTAATGCATCAACAAACTTAAAGCTTATGTAGGCGAATCAGAGGAAAACTAGTGCAAAGATACAGCACCCAAGAAAATACAGCTGTATTTTACTAAAAAATCACGAGTAAGAGTAAGGGCAGTGCTCAGACTTTAGCTGCAGAAGCCAGAATTCTCATAGATGGAAACTCTAGGAAATTCCAAAATTGCATAATGTGCTTTGCTATATTTCTTAGACCAGAAAGAAATGTTTAAACAACTGAGCATGAAAGCTAGCGAAAAATTAGATCAGAAATAAGTAGTACAATAACAAACAACTGAAAACGGCCACTTAACAACTTGAGTATGATTAATGAATTATCATCAGAAGTGCAATGATATACATAAAAATAACTTCCCAGAGGAAATCCCCTATCACAGGGTACAAAATCACAGAACATCATTTTGCCTGCTTACCTTATTAACACACCAAAGACTGGAAACAAATTACATAAATGAAGCTGAAAATATGTATTGGACTGCTGATCGGTCACTTCACTCCCCAAACAGAATCTATATATTACTGGATGGATTGAAGAGCAAAGCCCATCCAACATTGCATATGCTTATTAGAGTAAAAAAAAAAATGTCCATCTTAATTAAAATCTTTAAAAAACAAACACACAAAAAAAACATTGCATAACATCATGCTAAGGAGAAACACAAATGTTAAGAATAAAGCAGATGATAAAAGCTTCATCTTATTCTTACTGTGGAGTTAAAGAAAAGTGCAAAAACTCCCAACATAAGCACAATAAGATGTATTTTGATGGCTACCCTGCTTTAACAATCCAGAGTAAAAATGAATCAGGACCTTTCATTTTGATGACTTGAAGTGAAGTGATTTAAATTAACTCAGCAAAAGTCTGTGAAATCACTAAAAATAGTAAAATTTCAAAAAGCAAATGAATTTAACAGTTGAATAGACTTTGGAACAAACAGGAACTTACAAACAGGGTCATTAACAGTTCTCCACATATAAGATGACATCACATGACAAAACAGTTATGTTTATGTTGATTCGAAAAGTATTGATCAATCTTTTTTTCCTACAAACTTTTTAGACGAACTTTTCTTTTTTATTATTAAAACACAAGTATTCAGGAAGCATCACAGACCTTAATCAATCTGTGTGACCTTGGCATTCGTATAATGCCTATGAAGAACACAATAAAATAAAGGACAAGACACAAAAACATTCCGGAAATGATGGACATTTGCTGACATGTACACTTTTGATCTGACTAAATGGGAGAAATGAGCCCTCTTAATAAATAGGAAAAGGATAGTACACACAGTAACTCAACTGAAACATGAAAAACATGTTCAATCATCAAAAAACAATATCACAATTGACAGCTGCTGGGACAGATTATCACACAAAATAACTGCACTTTTCAGAATAGATGCATTTTTCACTGGATGTCACAGCCAGCAAACCTATTTTTTTCCATGCAGGTGGAAGGGGGTAGAACATTTTCATTTAGCTCTAACTTGAAGAGAGCTTGCGCAGCGAACTGATTTGAGATTTCTACCATAATTTATTCCTAAGGGAAAACAAACAACAAAACATTGTTACATAGTCAAAAGAAATTTTTATCTGTGCGTGTGGGATAAAACTGTATAAACGTAGTGGCCCACAGCCCAGCCCTAAACCCAAATTATGTATTAACTATCGTATGTACTTAGTTAAATTAAATACCTCCTTGTTTCAACAACAATTAAATCACAGTGAGAAAAATTTAAGGAAAGCGTGAGGGGGAACAGGAACATGAAGGGAACTTTTGTCAACAGTGTCTAGTTTCTCTTGGAAAGTTGGATCTTGATCTGCGATGCAAGGATGTCCAATTGATTTCCAAAACAGGCAACAGCAATTGCGGCATAGTTGTATCATTTCTGGATAATCTTCTCTGAGTCCATAGCACCTAGAAAAAAGGCTTGTGTGAAACATCTATTTCCAGCGTACACAGGAGAAAAACAAACAAACCACAAAACAAATATTATTTACTTTCTGAGTTTGTGGTAAACCTTCTTCCAATCAGGAGGATTCTCGACGGTCTCAATTTCTTGACTGGTACCCGTCTCTTGATGTGGGGTTGTATCATGAATATCCCTTGTCAAATGGCCGATGAGATCCAACGGTTGTTGTTTCTCATGAAGTTGCTCATCCTGTTTTCTGATGTTTTCCAAAACAAAATTGATTTGAGCATCTGTAAAATGGAAAGAGCAGAGTTCCCTCCATATGCGCTGTTCACTACTCAAGTTTTGCATGACTGAGTATGCTTTACTGCTGTTCTCGACATCCTTATGGTCAGCTAATCTCAACAGTATTTCTCTCACACATTCTTCAGGCAAATTTTGCAGTTTTGGATACATGTCATCATGAGGCTGAAAAACATAAGATAAGGAAGTGGTAATCATACCATACCCCACGTTTCCCTTCTGTTTCAAGTAAATTCCAACAATTGTGTTAAAACTAAGCAGCAAATATATATAACTTACTTCTCTGATTTGAATGGTATTAGCGATGGAAAGAATGCGGTCAATAGATTGCAAATGCTGTTCCCACAACCGAGTACTGCCAAGAGGCCGCCCCCAACAGGCACAATCGATCATTGCTCTTAATTCAGTCAAGAGTTTCCTGAGCATATGCATGTTTTGTTGACTAGCTGAAACTGATGAAGAATATTTCTGTTTTATTCAGTTCTATAAGTGGCCACCAAAGTACTGGGAGTCATGTGTATACCTTGATAAGCAACCTCTTCCAGCATAGCAAATAATACTTTCTGAGCACAGCCTGAAAGCATGCTTAGTTTTTGAGTGATGAGCAAATCGAGGAGTTTACAAATGTAATGAAAACGTCTACCATCATGGACTGCAGATCGGAAGTCAAGTCTCTTTAGGGCATCACTAAGGCCATTAAATCCAGCAATCTATTGAGAAATCATAATTGTAAGTACAGCTTACTGGCATGAAAAGAAAGATTTTTTTGTTTTTAATTAAAATTTCGTAATAATAATTGAATACCTCTCTAGTACATTTCACAGTGATGTGACAATGTGGCTGAATTGTCCCATCTGAGAAAAATAAAAAGTCATAAGAATTTAATTTGACGTCTGTGGTATTTGAATTAATTTCCATGTCTGCCTGAGTCTTTAAAAGTAAATCTCACCTTGACTGTTCGTCCTATTGACAACAACCTTTAAATCAACCCGGTTGTTGCCATCCATAAAAATGGCAGTACTTTGGTCTTCAACTTGCATATTTTCTTTTTCGTCTTCATCCATACTGCTAGTGAAGCATGTAAAAAGAATTAAAATTGTTTACATCAAAAAATAGTCAAATAAATTTGCTTTGGTTTCAGTTTTAATATATAGTACTCACCAGTTCTTGGAGAGACCATCCCTAAATGGAACATCTGTACTGTAATTGGTAATTCCCCTACACCTAAAATTTTATTGAAAGAGGAATTAATGCAACTTAATTGTTGGTATTGTGTACATCATATTCCTTCTTAAATTTTTAAGGTATGAGTTAGTGTAACAATCTTTTTAAAAGAAGCAACTCAACAACAAAATACTGTTTACATGGAAACAGCTCATAGCAGTTAGCAGTGTACTTGAGACAGGGGCCCCCAGCAAAGAAAAATAAATCTTTAGCAAACAATAGAAAGTTTCTTCCAAATTAGAAGATGATATTTTTTTCAGAAACTAGGAAAGCCTAACAACACATCGGAAACAATAGATTTTTTCATCAGGATAAGGAAGGTAAACATGGCAGTCATATGGTGAACTGTCAATCAAGAACAAAGAAAACTGCATCAAAATTGAGATGAAAGTTTGAGCAGATATTAAACAAAATTCAACAGTATGACTCGAGATAAGAGCCGAGTTTCTAATCGCAAAAATTTCAAGTGACACGCCTGAACCCTCCTCACCATAATGGAAAATGAGAAAGTGGGCTATTGATTCACAATCAGCTGTGCTGGTAAACAAACAAGAATCTCACCTCGACTCCAGATTTTCAGTGGGGGGTCCCAAAATTTGCCTTCCACATTCTAACACCTTCTTTTTCTCCCAACCTTCTTCAGTTTTCACCCATTCTTCCCCAGGAGAACGCCAGTCTTTAGAAATGAAGGGCATATTCTTGTGTTTCAACTGGTTCCTTGGCGTTGCGTTGCGACGACTTCGGTCCTCCTCTCTTGCAGAAATCCTGATCCTTCCCCCTCTCCCGCCCCGGACTATGTATTTGGACGCCGTCTAATTATCTTTCTCACTCTTAAGGCAAATAATGCCAAGAGTAACAAAGACGATCGCAATTCATTCCATACGCAGCCCAAACTATACTGCGCATGTCAGGTACAGGGCTTTGTTGGTGATGGTGCATAATAATTCCTAAATTTTGCCGCAAAATAATGCGTTCAAATTTGCGTTCGGATTCATTTAGACGGCTACAGTCCCCATCAAAAACAGAAAACAGTTCTGATTTATGACTATTCGAGAATTTTAAATCAATGACATAAAACCTCAAAAACAAAATGAAAGGGATGGGACGAGAAACATCTCAACGCGGGAAAACCAAATTAGAGAAAGGAACTTGGCAACGTTGAAGCGTTCCTTGAGACATTTAAGGTGCATTGTAAATCAAATTTGGTGTTCCGTAATTTATCTTTTAAATTCCTATCACGTATCGGGCTATATTACGTCAATTTACGGCAATTTCCTTCATTACTCGCCCCTTCGAAGTAGAGTGCGTTGGCCACCATGTTGTTTGTTTGTATTTGGTAATCCAGGAGGTCATGGTGGAGCCAAAGCACAGCGGTACAGTTCGCGCTGTCCAGCCTTAAATATGTGGAAAAATGGACTTATTGGACAACAAAACTTTTAAATTGACACAGTTATGCCGCCTTTGTCTCGCCGAAGATGGATTAATGGTGCAATTATTTGGTGAAGAGAGCTGCGGACGAAAGAAACCCCTACCTGAAAGGATCCTGTGTTGTACCACAGTGGAGGTTAGGTGGCTAGGCTAGGGTAGGCTTAAATATTTGCACCCAGAAATATCCGCTCTCAATGCGAAAATTGTTGTATTTAGCGCCCATAAGTAAAGGTAAGACGAAATCAATCACCACATGGGTACTTTTATCCTAGAATATGGTCTCAACAGAGTGCATTTAACATCTTTAGAAAAATGTAGGACTTGGCCGTCTCCAAGGACATATCGTCATTGAAATAACGCTCTGCATTCATCAATTCCGATATTAGCTCAAATCCTTATGATATTTGACTTTATTGACTAACCCGGTTGTAAGAGATCCCTACTTTGCACCCCTCTCCAGTATCTAAATAAAGCTGTTCAGGCTGTCATGCCATAGGCATACCTTATTTCCTACTGTGACACCAGAGTTTCTTTCTTAGTTCTCTCTGCTTCTGCACTTTTTATTGTCTCTTTCATGCAGTTTTGAACACTGGAAATGCATATTTGCTATCATCTTCCAGCCTAATTATCTGAACTTAGTTCGCACATTATATGAAGGGACCATTCATCTTGAAATCTCATTCACTCGCTTTCATTCAGTCTTTGTGCTTAACAACTTTCTGAACTGCCAAAGTTTCTTTGAATTGTATCATAGCATAAGTGTCGTGTTAAGTCTGGATTTTTACACATGCACATTTCTGATAAATTAGTCTTGGTATTCAACATATTCTTAACTCTGAAATTTTTCCACTCGAACAATTTGTTGTATAACTCTATTTTTGTTGAACCCTTTTCTTTTTTTTTTTTTTTTTTTGCTTCCAAAATCTTAATTTTTTAAAATTTATTTGCTGCTGCATGAAATCTGTTTTTGGACTAACAATACAAAATTAATCTTAAATTTCTATTTTTCCAAGAGTTATAAGAGACCTAATCTTGTTGCTTAAGTAACGGCACAATTTGATGTGAAATGCTAAGTTTACTCCCTATGTTAGTTTCGGTTCAGTCAGAAAAAAAAGTTTTGGAATCTCATAATTTTATCTACCTTTTACTTCAAAAATTTTGGGATAATCTCTTAAATTGCTAAATGCCTCTGCCTCTGCTAGCTATATTTCCTGCTTCTGTTCAAAAGAAAAAATTGTTTTCTGTTTAACCAATTGCATTCTATTGTCTCAGAACCCAAGTTATACCTTTACTTCATGGGCAAGCTTCTATTAGCACGTTTCTTGCGGCTCATTTTTTGTGCCTCTGATTCAACATGGGGGCATGACCACATAATGGTCACGCCGCAAGGAACGTGTTAATTTAACAACATATTTTGTACTCCGTCAATATTTGTGCATAACCCTGCCAAATTTTGTGCAGGTATTTTCTAGCATTTGTGGTGATAGTTTTTCTTTACTCACTATGAAACAATGGGAAACTTCAGAAAGCCATAATTAACACAGTTTGCATGTGCATGCTTTGTTGCTTCTTTTGTAGTTCGTACCTAGCAGTAGCATGAGAACTCTCTTTTTGTAAGGGTTTGTTGGCTGGCTTTTTGTCGGCTAGCTTTTTGTCACCCCCTCTTTGTTTTAACTACTGTATAATCTTATAAGCTACTTATTCAGTTATGTCTTTAATAGGAAGATGGCTCTCCAATGGTAATTTTTTTTTAAAAAAATTATTATTTTCTACCTCTCATCATTTTATATTCTTTCATTGACAAGGACAAGATATTTTCAGATCAATTTTAATTTGTAAAATTGATTAAATAATTTAACTTTTATAATTTAACCCTGGACACTTAAGAATATTTCCATAAGTATGCATCTTTAACAGTCAGTGGACAAAGTCTTTGCCATTTGAAAGCCACGTCTATATTATTTTAAGTTGTTTACAATATGTAAAATTCAATATGAAGTAATAATGTTTCTGTATATCCATGTAAAAAACAATTTTATTCATTAACCTTCCTATTTTAATACTCATTGTACTTTTATCGACAGGTTAAGGAAGGAGATGGCTTACCTGTAGTTGTCTGTCATCGCTGCCTCTATTACATTGATACATTTGTTGACTTTCGTTTAAAATGTCAACGTGTTGATGCTGCTCTGCACATCTTTTGCAATGAAATTAAGGCCAAGGTAGTCATTACTTTATTCGATTTATTGTAAAGCTCATCTGTCCGACAATAACCTTTCTCTATTTTTTTAAACCAGGAAAACAGAGAAAAATCTGATTCTGAAGAGAGCCATCCTATAGATAATGTGAGTTTCCTCAGTTTCAAATCTATTTGTGCTTTCAATATGTGCGTGTGTGTCTTAGTTTGTTTAGGATTTTTATGTTTTAATTTAACTATTTTATAACAATTTATACTTGCAGATTGAGCCAGCACCCCAGAAAGAGTTCTTGAAATCAGATTTGACTTTTACTGCATCTGAAGATGAAGCCTTAGAGGAATCAAAAGGTTCTGACTTTGTAGTAAAGGTGAATGGAAACAGTGAATGTGTACCAGATTCTGATTCTCTTCCACTTGAAAGTGACATGAGTTCAAAAGACTCAAGAATGGGGCCTTCAAATAAGCCATATCACTGTCCACATTGCAATAAACCTTTTACTTATAAGGCAAGATTAGCAGCCCACATAAAAACCCATGGGGAAAATCAAGTTTACCAGGCTGACAATATGCTGCAAATGCCACAGCAACCTTTGCCTCAACCACCTCAAGCTTCTCAGCACAACCTGCATCATTCAGTTCAACAGCAATCAATGCAATCCCAGTCAATGCAGGCACAGGGTATTCAGTCACCCCAACTTCAACATCAACTTTCACCAAGTGCAAACCCGTACTCTTCTCAGCAGCATACCATGTCTTATGGTATGACGCAATCACCATTGTCTCAGCATATGCAGCAACAAACATCAGTTCCTCAACAGTATATGTCACAACAGTCAATGTCTCATGGATCACCCCGTGTATCAGGACAACCAATGTCACCTTTGCATTCAATGTCGCCTCAACATCATCCTATGCAGCAGTCGTATCATATGCAGCAACAAGCATCCGTTCATCAAACTTCCTTGCAGCAACAAGTTCCAATCCATCAGCCTGCAATGCAGCAGCAAATATCTCTTCAGCAACAAATGAGCATGCAACAGCAGCAGTCGTCAATGCAGCAGCAACAGCAGCAATCGTCTATGCAACAGCAGCAATCATCTATGCAACAGCAGCAGACGTCTATGCAACAGCAGCAGATGTCTATGCAACAGCAGCCAACATCCATGCAACAACAACAGTCATCTATGCAACAGCAGCAACCATCCATGCCACAGCAGCAAACATCTATGCCACAGCCACAGCCATCTTTGCAACAGCAACAGTCTATTCAACAACAGTCGATGCAACAGCAACAATCCATGCAACAGCAACAATCCATGCAACAGCAGCAATCTATGCAACAGCAACAGCCTATGCAACAATTAGGAATGCAGCAGCATGGACCAATGCAACATCAAGGGCCAATGCAGCATTCCCAAGGGATTCATTCACAACCTATGCATCAACAGTCTCAGCAGCAATCAATACCACAACAACAGATTATGCAGCAGCAGAGTATTCAGCAGCAGCAGCAGCAGCAGCAGTCTGTGGGTCAGTCATACGATGGAAGAATGTATGATATGAACTATATGCCAGAAACCCCGGGCACTCCTCCAAGTAGTGGCAGTGAGAGCTCTTATAATTGCTCCTCTTGTTCTGCTTCATTTATGACTCCTTGGATGCTTGCTGACCATGTACGAAGCAGATGCTGTGATCCGAATGTGTCTTACAACTGTGAAAAGTGTTACTCACAATTTGGATCCTTTAATGACTTGGAACAACACAAGCTTTCAAGATCTTGTGAAAATCAAGTCCCAAGCTACTATGATGCTTACACACCACCTCCAAGTCATTATGGAATGTATGCTCATCAACATCAGCAAGACTTTTCGAGTGGCGGTGACATGATTGATTCAAGAAACACTCCTTCACCATGGAACGTGATGGCAACTCGAAGTCCTGGAGCTGTAGGCAATGGCAGTAGTTCACGGTCTCGAATGCAGCGCCAAGATAGTTACTCAACAAGATCTCCGCAGCTTGGAACTATGGAGGAATTGGAGAAGTTTGCTATGAGCAATACTGTGGTAACATCACCTTTAGAGCCTCTGGCATCACCAGGCTTGACAGAGCCTCTCACTTCCGCACCGTCACCTTTAGACCCAGAAAACAGTGTGCAAAGTGTGCAAAGTGTTCAGAGTACTCAGAGTACTCAAAGTAGTGGAAGTGGTAGCTGTGGCCCTCGTTCAAATTTAAATTTTAACACAAACTCTAGTGTTAGGTTTGGTGGACCCAACTTTTGTGGTGGAAACATAAGTTCAAACTATGGTGCATCAAACACCAACTCTTCTTTCATGGGTGGTGGTGGCCAAAGTTTTGGCAACATAAATCAGAACTTTGGGAGTTCTTCCCCCAACCAAGGTTTTGGAAGTAACATTATGATGCAAACTTCTCCCTTTGGTAGTAATGGAAATTGTTCCATTGATCAAAATCTTAATTCAAATGTTGCTGTTAACTCTCAAAGTATGAATTTTGTTGAGGAATCTAATCTCAGTTTTGGTAATAGTATAAGTTCTACCTATAGTAAGAAATCTAGTAGTGGCTGCTCCTCACCTCAAGACTCAAGACAAGAAGTAAATGCCAACACAAAATTTTGTGATGACATGAATCCTCTTGTACAGGATCAGAAACGAAGCCCACTGGCTGATAGAATTGGAAGCCCCCTTATTGATGGTGAGATCAAATCAAGAACAAAAGTTAATGAATCGTTAAATATAAATATTAGTGATTCAATGACTGGATCATGTGCTGAAATGCTTCTGACCACCTCACCTGGTTCCAGTAAGGGCTGTATGGGAGGCGGGGATAATCCATATTCTTGCCAGGTGTGTAAAGCTAGTTTTGCATCCAGGACTTTATTCTCAAACCATATGAAGACTCATGCGCCGGATCGCTCTGTCAAATGTAATCTATGTAACAACTCATTTCCTACCACAGCGGCCTTGCGGTCTCATGTTGACAGTGTTCATTCTGAAAGTGGCAGTGAGAAGTCTCTGCACATTGTGCTTGATGACTCTCAGAGTCCAGGGAAGATGAATGAGAATGGTAACAGTGATGATAGTGATGATGAACCTTTAAGCAAACTTGTTGTGAAACCAACTCCTCCACCTGCCAAGCGGCGTGGGCGAAAACCTAAAAGTGAGACGGAAAATGGTGAAAAGCCTTATGGATGTGTTTACTGTGGGAAGGGCTTTGTTACTGCTGTCCGTTTAGCTATACACACTAAACTGCATACTGCAGAAAAGCCCTTTAAATGTGATCAGTGTGACAAGGCATTCAGATCACGTGCTCACCTGCAACGTCATGTCAAAACACATGCTGGTGACAAACCATTTAAATGTGTAACTTGCAACAAGTCTTTTACTGTATCCATGAATCTCAAGATACACATGCGCACTCACACTGGTGAAAGACCATACCAGTGTAATCTATGCAAAATGGCTTTCATTGGTTACTCTCACTTGTACAATCATCTTAAAACTCATTCGGATACTCAAGGGCCTTTCACTTACACATACTTTAACAAGGTTTACACAACTACAGGAAATTTTACACTGACTAAGAGAGAGAAAACAGCAAGAGGCCGCAATAGAGATAAGGATGTTGAAAATGATCCGTCAAAGGAGGATGATGAGATTGAACAAGTAAAGGAAGTTGTGAGAACCATTAATAAGAGCACCACTGGGAAGAAAAGGGGCCGTAAAGCTCACTTTTATGAACCTGAAGAAGATGAAGAAGAAGTCCTAGAGGATGATGATGAAGAGGAAGGTATTGAAAATTCAGATGTAACATTAGATTTTAAGTAAAAGCCCCTTTTGTACAGTAAGTTAAAAGTTCCAGATTCTTCCGGTCAGTGAAGGCTATGTTGTCACTTTAATTCTATCCAGAGTGATTCCTATACCTGTAAAAATATGGGAATAATTGTTTTGACTGATTAGCAAACTATCATATTAAATTTCTCTTTGGTCTTCTTGTCTTTATAGAGAAATCAGCCATCTTGCCTTACAAGACTAGTGTGGAATAGCTATGCTTTTAACAACTTCCTCATCTCAGTCTTATGCAGCTACATGGATAAGTTATAGTACCTGGAGGTACTAATCTTACTTTTCTTCTCTTATTGCTCAAAGTGTTTGTAATTTAAAGACATTAATTTGTCTTATGGTATTGTGACAATGTCTCAGTGTTCTTACTCTAACAATTGTTTTTTCTAAGAACATACCTTACTTTCATAAAATTTGAAAATCCTTCCTACGGTAAATGTACTAACAAACGTTTCATTGAAAAGTATGTTGTGTTGAGTGCAAACTAATGCTATAAAAATGTCTAGGCTGTGATTCAATGGTTGGAAAAATGGCCCTCAGTTTTAAATATCGCCTGACTAATTTTTCTGTTCCTTTATGTCTGTTTGATTACTTAACATGAGACTGCTTCCCCTTCTTGTTGACTTCCTCTGCATTGTGTACTTTATTAAACTAAGTGTAATATTCTCTTGGAGTGCTTTGCTTCATACATTTTTATAAGTCTCTGCAAATCTGTGACCACCCGTTAAAACAAAATGCCCTCGTTTTTTGTTGTAATTTTTTCTAATTTGTGAGTCAAGTGATTTCTTTTAATTGACTTCTATTTGCTCAGAGTATCTGTTTGCTCAAATTTGTTCTTAACTCCATCATCTTGAAAGTGAAAATCCTGCTCAGCGTTTCTTTACCACCTATGATGATTTTTTTAACCAGTCTTCCAGGGAATCTTCATGAAATCATGGACTGCTGTTGTATTTGGTCAGTGTATTGTTGTTTGTTTTTAACTAACACTCTAACACTGACTACCGTGTTTAAAGCTTTGAGTGAAGATTATTGAAAGAAGCAATCAGATGCCGTTCTTTACTTGTTCAACATACATTATGGAAGGAATAATTGTTCCTGTAACATATTATATCTATTATTTTGTTGGTACTCTCTTTTTCTCTGAGTGTTTCAATTTTTTCTTCTTTTTGTTTTTACACTAACCAATGTACTGAGTGGTGGTTGTTTTTACTTTTGTTCTATTCATTGTTTTCTTTTTTTGCAGTGATAAGTAAAAGCCGCTTAACAACATCCTAGTTATAAGTGCCATTTGCTCTCTGGTATCTCGGTTTATCCGATAACTTTTTCAATCTCATGCATTATCTGAAGTTGTTTCAAACAATCATGCCATGTTTAAGAAATTGCTCTTAATTTTAAAATAGATACTTGCAAAAGACTGTGAAATGTTCGATGACATCTATTAGCTTGAAGGCAGTTCTGATATCAGAAAATATTTCAAAGTTGTTGTACTCCAACCACAGAGGTGAATGAGTGCAGTGCAATTTTAAATAATTTTGATGCAAACAGGGGATTTTGAATTTTGAATGGGCTATTGTAGGAATACGTATGTTACATTTAGTATACTTTCTCTCTGTTTGAAAGGTTGTGATGTTATCTACTTAATTTTTTTTAATCTCTATTATTTTTGAAGGAATTGTGTGCTATGTATGAAATTCTGACCTTACAAGAAAAGATAAGTGAATTGTATCAACTGAGATGACTTTCTATTCCTTTTCAAAGGAAGACCTCAGTTGCATAGCAGCAATTATCATCATCTTTTTTCTCTTGGTTAGCCATTGATCAAAACTCTGTGCCAGTGATTTAGTGATTTTCCCCCCTTGTATGTACTGTTGAATGTTTCGTAATTTTTGTGTCATAAAAAGCAATAAGCTTGTTCCGTTTATTGCAAATTTAATTCTATGATCTATTGTACTAATGAAATACTCAGATTAATTATTTTTTTTTGTTTCTGGTGAAAAACACTTGAAAAGGCTCATGTAGCCATTTGTGTCATGTGTAAATCAGACACATTTTTTTTTCATGTTAAGACTGTGATGTCATTTTTCATTCAGCACAATTGAAGATGAAGTCTTTTGACATTTTTGTCATTTTTTATTTATTTATTTTTGGTTTTCTGTGTTTATTACCTGCTTTTATTATTTAACTTACAATTTATCATTTTAAATTTGTGTTATGTGTGTTCAGATACCTTGAACTGTTCTAAGACAAGTTTTCGTAAATTTTCAGTAGTTGTATAAGTTGCAAATTAGTACTGTATCTCTCTTTCTTTTTTGTTACCCTGTTCTATGAGCTTATTTTAACAGACATCTTAAACTGACAATTAAGTAGATTAAGATACTTTGATCAAAACTAATCAAATTTCTCTCCGCACTTTTAAAGCTTTAAAAGGAAACCTGGTTTACCAAATCTATTGTGTTTCTCCTCATTTTCATTTTAGCTATCAATCATTTTATATTTTTGTTTTATTTCACGCTCCTCTGTGTTATAAAATGCTAGTTATTTAAGCATGGTTGTGACGTTTTGTAAATCTCTTGCCCATTAAGTTTCAATGTGAAGAGGATTTGCATTCAAGAAGAGAAACAGAGTTACTGTACTTCATATCATGATTTGCCATCAACACATTATCAATGAAAATGAGTGTTCCCTCGGAAGGTATGTACTTTTCCTTCTAAAGGACTTAATGCAGTTTTTAGTTAGACTGGACGGGGGCTGTCCTTAGGCCTACTCGTAAATATTGAAAAGTTTGAGCCAATGCCTGTTTAGCATATGATGGTTTCTATGGTTGTGGGATACCAGGTTTGTAAAAGGATACTTACCTGCCATACATTTTGTATATAGACAGACTTAAAAAGACAGCTGTAGTACAAATTGTGTATATACATTTTCTATTCATTGTAAGTGTTGTTTTTGTGTATATGACCAACTGGTGCTCATAATTGATAGCTTTGTCTTCTTTTTATCATGAGATTTTATTGATCTGCTAAGGTTTTAAGGAGATGTATGCATTAGCTGGATGAAGTCTAGCAATCTTTGGTTCAGCCATCCCTCACATGTCATTCCAGGTTGTGCTATGTGTTTAATTAAGATAGATTTTCTTGCTATGTCTCAATGTTAGCCCTCAACATCATGTCACTAATGTTCCGTACTTGAAGTTATGGAATGAATTCCTAGTCATGCTACAATATGCATACCTGTTGGTTGATTCTTGTCCTGTGTTTTTGTTCCATCTGTTGAGAGTTTGAGTTTAGCCTTTTGCCTTTGTAATACTCAAGGTATGACATAGCAAGTTTATCTCTCAAGTTGTGTTAAATTGCTCACAGCTCTGATTTGTCAGCAGAATTTGTATTTTAGTTCTTTTTTAAATGTACAAAGTATCCATAAAATGTTAAAATTAAGAAAGTTTTTCACATTTTGTAAGCGTTAAAAGTCAAAAGTGTGAGAAGTTCTTCTCAATGTTTCTTGCCTCAAACACATGGTTGGTGGGTTAACCTTGTATTACTTTAAAGTGGTAAGGTTTGTTATGTCTCATTCAGTGTTTCAATATCAATTGAACAATTTTTTTTTTGTTTTTTTTTAAATTTTGTTATATTTTCTGTACCTTTACATCACCAAGAAATATATTTGTTACTAGGCATAATGTTTATTACCACATTTTCCCCCTTATCTTTTGCCAGACTTCCTTCTGTGCTGGCTCTGTGTTCAACTTCATCCCTCCTTAATTTTGTTATGCTATTTGTATTGCATTTTTATGCTGTCAATTATTTACGGAAATACCTAAATACTGATGTCAGTGGCAAATAAATGTTTCTATAAGGATTTCACTCTGTTATTTATTTTGAGTTTATCTTTCATTAATGAGTAATGAATGCCAACTTGAGCTTGTGTGTTGGTTGTTCTTGGGTTTAACAGTTACAACACTTCAGTTACATAACTGTCAGTAATATTTTCCTTGAGGTGAGAATTTTAAATATGTGCAATATGTTCAACCTGTCTTAAAGCTTCCTTAAGTTTTGACACCATATCCTGAAGTTCAGCCAATGTGCACTCAAATTTTACCAGCTTATCTTCTTGACCCTCTGGTAAACCTTCGGTTTCAAATTGCACAGAAACGAATGAGCTAGTGGTTTGCTTGTTACTGCTGGACTGAAAGATAATAAAATGGAATTAGGAAAATGCTAAAATTTATACTGCGATTATCCTTCAATAATTATTATCCTTTAAGTATAGGAAATCTTACCTTAGTATTGTGATTCAAACTCCACTGAACATCCACAATGTGAGGGGGATGAACACTAATATTAGAAAGACAGGCTTGAACTTTAGAAACACAAGCGGCATAGGCATCAGCTAACATTTTACATCGAGTTTGGGGCCAATTTGCTTTAGTCTCTAGAAAAACAGTAAGGGAATCCAGAGTGAGATCTAAGCGAGCAGATTCAACAAATAGGGACAAAAGAGCACAGTGAGCTTCCTTGACCACATCTCCTTTGGAGGAACCAGAAGAAATACCTGAATTAATAGAAAAGAATAAGCGTTGTCTTAATGTCACGTAAGAGGAAACTACAACGGCCTGTAACAATGTGTGGTGCAGTCAAAAGGACACGAAAAAAGCATTCAATGTAGGTACTTACTAGAGAGGTTGGCTGACGTGAAGTCTGGTTGGGTTATGGTAGTCATTCCACACTGTAAAGATTTTACAAAAACTTCGTCACTGACAAGGGTGGAATTGCCCATTCTTTTCAATCCTGTCATTATTTCTGTAGAAAGCTTCGGCTCCATTTTTATACTAATAGAAAATAACAGAAATATCAACGCTTGAATCACGCACAAATTTTTGTTTGTTTCTGGTCTCTGCTGGTGTCTGCTATTCAAGTCAAGTTCCCCACCATGACATGAAAATGCACCGAGTTTTGAAGAATTTTACATCATTAAGTATTCATATTATCATTATTTTGAATACATTCATATAGAAGAAAGTATATTAAAAAGTACTTGACACCCATTCGAATAAAGGAAATTGGTACTTTTGGGTTGTCGTGGGTGTGTAAGGGGTGGCCCCACTTGCTGTCAGTTTTGGTGGGCGAGAGCAGAGAGCATGTCGGAATTTGTTCAATGAATTATTTTGTGTTTTCGTTTTTCGACGTAGATTTCTGTTTGGTCTCCTTTAATCCAATATCGTCGGATAGATAGTTTCTCCTGTTTGCCATAGATTATTATTATGGTTTTTTTACCTGTTTCTTAATTGTTACTGTTACGTTGTATCTAACTAAACATGTCTCGGGTGAAGACCACTAACACAGTATTTGTAGAGATCAGCAATGGTTTTAACCTTAATTTCACTGAGGAAGAAAAGGTAAGTAGTTTGATAATAATTCTTATGTACCAAAATTAAAATTTCTATATTTACAGGAAATCGTGAATCGTGAATTTGTTCTGATGTTTTCTGAACTGTGTCTTCTTGATTAACAGGTGGAGTTGCCAGAGCTAGAACGGAATAGTGTTCTTATTCAAGTAAAAGCTTGCAGTCTGTCTAGCTGGCTTCATTGCTGCAGCAATGTAGGAAAAGATCCTGCAACCGCAATTTTGTATCAAACCATTAGCAAGATCAATGGCTCTTCTAACAAAACTTGCAAGTTGCCTGCAGGCCAGGATATATCTGGTATAGTTATGGCTGTTGGCGAAGATGTAACTACACTTGCCAAAGGAGATTATGTTGTGGGTAAGGATAAATGTCTATGCTAAGTATGCGTAGTTTCATTTTAATAGATTTCTAATAATTTTTGTATCACTTTCTTTTTTTCCCCCAGGTATAATCCCGTTGGATTATGGTCAATCAGGTTGCTCAGATTTTGTCATTCTTCAAGAATTTGATGTTGGTCAGTTATTTTGTATTATTTGACTGTTATCACTGCTTTGACTTGCATCCTGCATCACTTTTTTTTTTGTTATTTACAATGTTTAGTTCACATGCCTGATGGGGTAAGTTTTGTGGATGCCGCTGGTTGTGTGGGTGATGCTGTAAAAGCTTACATTGCTTTACATTACATGGGCCGTTTGGGCGGTTCTGATGATACAGGTGAGTGTATGATCAATTTTATGAATTTCTTTTTACCGCTCTCCAGCAAATCACATTCAATTCTAACTTAATTTATTTTAGTTATGGTGCTACATGGTGCTACGTCGTTAGGATCAACTTTGCTTCAGCTTGCTCATCATTGGGGAGCGAGAGTAATGACAAGCTGTTCTTCAAACGATGAAAAAACCTACATTCAAAGCCTTGGTGTTCCATTATGTATGTATGATTGACTGAAATGGATCTGTTCCTATTAAGCCTGGTTTTTGATTTCAAATCTTCTTTTTCAGTACAAGTTGTAGAATTAAATGAAATAAACCAAAGTTTAAAGTCAGCATGTAATGCTGAAACTGGCAATTTGGGAGTCAATATAATTATTGATACTATAGCCTCACAGCCAACACAAGTGGTATTGTCTTGATCCTTAATAGAAACAATCCTAAATTACAATATACACAGCTTTCCTACTAGTTAACCATTTTCAGGACTCAAACATTATTGAAGAGGAGAAGATTGAACCATTAGTAAGACCCAGTAAACATGATATCATATCTTGTCTAGCTGTTGGTGGCCGCTGGGTGACCTGTGAACCGAACCTTCAGGTTGTTGATATTTTCTGTTTATTTAAACATTAAGCCCATTTAGTTCAGTTTAACTAACTTCTTTTGTTTCAAGCTGGACCCCCCAAACTCCAAATTATTATTTTTAAGATGTGCAAGTGTTGGGTTCTTGTGCGAACAAGCTTGGATGCTGTCACATGCTCAACAGGGGCGGTATCAACATATTCTCATGGATATAATGCGCAAAGTCGTTACAGGAATTATTCGGTAAGTAAAGAAGTTTTGAGGTCCAAGAAAAATGTTTGTTATTTCAATTGCTGAAAATTATTTGCAGACCTAACATTCATCACACTGTGACCTTTGATGGTGTGAAAGATGCCTTGAAGCACTTATCCAAGATACGAGTGGGGAAGGTTGTGTTGACTTTTTGATCTGCTCAACTCAGCTCAATGTGTAGCTTGTGAACCAAATGGTCCAATCATTAAAATTTTCATTTAACCATATTTTCATTTATATAGTAAATGTGTGTATACAAAAGAAATCAAAGTGAAATATTGAAGATTGGTATTTGAAAAAAATAAAATAAAAAATGAAATAAGTTTTGTTGTAATTAAAACTCTATATTTACATCAGTACAACTTTTAAAATAAATTAGAATATATTCAAATGTAAGGCGACATGCATGATTACACATGTAAAAATACTGAAATCAAACACAGAAAAAATAACATCACAGACACTTTGAACAATAATTTTGGCTTACATCTAATCTACTTTGGTTAAAACATTGAGCAAACACAATTCATTGAGCATCTCGAGAATAAATAGTTTTAAATTAAGTTTCAACATCATATAAAAAATTGCAACAACTATAACAATGCTTCAGGGCTTATTGACAACACTGTTCCTCCATACGTTTGCGAGCTAGAGCTTTTGCCTGGGCAAGTCTTTCTTTAGCCTGTGCTGTAAAATCCTTTGTGACCCCTACAGACTTCCGACGTGAAGCAGCATTCCCACAAGACTTGTTAAGATTCCCAAGTGGTTGACGCTGTGAAAGAAACAAATTCAAAATATAATATTGAACATTGTGTAAATTCTAACAGGTGCAAAGTATTACAAACCTTGATCTCAGGAGAGGGTAAGGGTTCCCAATTGTTTTGCTTGAGTTTCTTCACCTCCTCAAATTTGCTGTAAATATCTTCCACCTGTTGAATAAAATATGATAAAAAATAAGTGGCGTAGGACAATACAAATTCAACAAAGAGGAACAGGTAGTAGAAACAATACAAACCTGAATATACATAACTTCCCAATATCCCTGTAGATCTTGAACAGTGACTGGCCTCTCAGAACTGTTCGTCTCACAAGCTGATATTAACCCACGGAACTGCTCAAATTTTTTCCTCATGAGAAGATGTGCTTGTCCTGCAAACACAATTATCAAAACTTATGAAAATAGCCATCACTGCATTACTTATGTTACAAGTCGCAAGAATTAATTAACCGCCTCTCGGGCTCAGACTGCATAAAGGTATATTTAGAACAGATGCACTTCTGGTGTCAGCGCGTTTAAAGATAAATTTGGAACGCCGGTGTGAAATGTTAATAAGACGGAAAACTCACCGATCGCAATCTGGATTTTACCGCACACATCGTCCGGAATGGCAGAACAGCTGTCACTATCTTTCAAAACACTTTGCCAGTTATCACACAGCCCGGTAATAGCCGTGCACTCCTGGTTCAAGAGGTCACGATAGTGGCTTGCTGACACTGACACCATGGCTCGGAATTCGAAAACACAGCTCTATAAGGCAAATGATAAATTGAAGATCCCACAAGCTCTTCGAAATTAAAGGCTGCTCCTCAAACTAAGTAAATCCCACGTGAGGAGGATCGGCGACAGACTAATTGTGTCATGGGACGGTTACAGCATTTAAATATGAGATGAGGGATGACTTTCCATCCACACATTCAACTCTTCTAGCTCCCGCTCGCTCTTGCCTCCGGTGGGAGGGGTGGCGCGTAGTCGAACTGCTCCGAACCAACTCCGAACTGCTCCGAACACTCCGAAGAAACCCGAAGCGCTGCTCGGTCAAGGATCGGTTGATTCAACCCGACTTGAAGCACGACTGACCTTAGACGTCCAATTCAAGTTACCTGAACCAAATGTGCGCGCGTTTCAACCGGCTTGCTATTTTTTTGAAGACCTCTGTATCGTTATTTGTTAATGTAATGAAAGATGTACCCTGTGTTACCTTAAAATAGCTTATCCCTCCAAATTTTTTGTATTTATTTGCCATATCTTTGTGTCATTGAGGTAAGATTTTTGTCTATCTATGCTGTTCATGCTACCTAACCCTTCTCTTATTTGTTTACTTGCTGATGTATAAGTGGTTTTTGTGGTTTTGTTGTTTACCGTATGGTGTTGTCTATACTAGGTGTCAGTTTTCTTATACGCTTCATTTTACCTGAAATTTATGCAATAGATTTTTCTGCGTAAGTTTCTCTGAAGTCCTCAAAATGGATCGCAGTTTTCAAGGCATGAGGGACGTATCTCTCCATGGAACTGCAGCTTGGCCAGCTTCAGGCAGACGAAATGCCTTTGTCATGCGCAACAATCGTACTTCTATTGCTGGTAGCTCGTAAGTTGGTTCAGTTATGGCTAGACTTTCACCCCTTCAATAGGTTAATGTGAAATTTCTATAATCATAATTTATTTCTTTATTGCAGGAGAATGAGTGTTTCAGGACGTTCCTCTCAGTCAATTCAAGTGATAACAAGGACTAGATTACATGATGTGAAATTGTTCGGCTTGCCTTTACCAGTGTTAGTAACAGAGGCGCTCACTTTTGCTGATAGTAAGTTGGATTTCCCAAAAAGTCTTGAATTGTCTCATTTATATATATCTTTTTTTCCCCTTCTAAATTTGATTTCAAACCAATTATCTTTTCGTTTTTTTTTGTAAAATTAAAGTGTTAATATTTGTGTTTTAGGAAGTACAGCAGTTAGTGCTCATATATCCCCTGATGGCTGGGCTTGGCTTGTTTGTGGCCGTCGGCTGTTAATATGGCAGTACAAACAAACTCCAGCAATGGCACAACAACGTCGCCCTCCGAGCACACAGTGCCGAGAACTCACTTTGCCTGCAAGTGAACTTGCTCATAGGGCTGATTTGGTGTGGGTGTATGCCAAAGAAGATAGTGTGGTAGGTTTAATGTGCCTAGCAATGGAATGATTTTCAACAAATAAATATTTACAAGTTACTTTCAATTTTCCTTTAGGTTCCCTCATGCATTGCAGTTTCACCTGAGGGCAGTGTACGGTATTGGCCGAGTGTTGCCTATGAAGGAACATCTGTTGAAGACAGTACAGATTTGCAAGGGCAGGAATGTGACTCTCTCACAAGTATTTCTTCATTGGGATGCATCCTTGCAACCACTACATCCACCATTGTTAGATTACAGCCTGAGGTCTGTTTTCTTTTTTCTCTTAGAAAAGCATTGGTTTTATTCCCTTGTGTGAATATCAATAATTGAAATCAATAAATAAATGCTCCCTTTATTACAGGTTATAAATGGCCGTCATTGTGTTACATGCACCACATTGAAACCACCTCAGAGTATATTGGGTGGTATTGGGCGTCGAATGTCATCTCTCATCTTTGGTTCTCTTCCCACAGCAGGTGGCACTGAAGCTGTAAGTATCACTCAAAGTTTTTTTGTCACAAAGCTAAACTTTAGAAATAGTCAGGTAGTGGAACTTTCCTGAGCATCCAATTTGACACAAAAAAATTCATCTGAATGAGACTGTTTTTACAGTTCAAGTGAAATAAAGGGAACAATACCCAATCTTTCGGTGAAACAAACAAATCGTCAAAGCTACATTCTATCAACCCCACGCATTAACAAATAAATAAATAGTTGAATAATTTCTACCTAATTGAAATTCCACCTTGTATCTCACTTTTTTGTTGTTGTTGTCTACCTTTTTTTGTTACCTTCACCTACATTACCATTTTTTTTAAATCTTTTTTCAGAAACTTGTTAGGGTTGCAGCAGTTGAGAAAACTAGTTGTAACAAAGAGCAGACAGAATTTATTGTCTATGTTCTCACTGAGCACACTCTTCAGAAATGGTCTGTAACGCCGCATGATGTTGAGAGACTTATATGGGAATGTGAAGTGGGGCGTAGGATCAGGGAAGCTTTTCAAGAAAAAGTCTGGGATCCCCAAGGTGGAAACCCAGATGAACAGGAATCCTGGCTGCTAGACATGCAGCCTACGAGTGATGGTGTGGCTATTCTAGCTGCATCTGTTCATCCTCAAATATCTCAGAACATGCAATTTGCTATTGGTGAGTAATTATGTGGCAATTATTTTTGCATGTATGTGAAATAGTATTTAATTTTTACTCCATCTTTCTTCAGCTACGCTCTCAACAGATTTAGGTGTGCCCCCAACCCGATTAAAGTCATTTACACCTTTAAAAAATGAAGTTGTTCCCCGTAAAACCGAACAGGATCTTTCTCAGTATCAACTTCTCATTGCTGGACATTCAGCTCTTGTCTTCAGTCAACGAAATGTGTTAGTTTTTCCGCGTAAGTACTATTTATAAATTTCAGTTTTGTCTACTGCTTAAAAAAAAATCTGACACTCCACTTCCCTTGCAGTCTCAAATCTTTCAGATGAACCTGACGCAATAGAGTTCCGCAATGAAGGAGATCGATTGCTTGGAGGTTCGGTGTGCGCCAACGTGCCTGTATTTTTCTCCAAGTCTCATGGTTTAGTAGCAATTTCCCCATTAGATTACTCGCCTCATGATTTTAGCAGTCAAAATGATAGCATTGCGTTTGGAGCTGATGTATCTGTGTCTGAATGTGGGGATACTTCTGTTCTTGAACAAGATCTTGAAGAACTCACTACACAAACTCAAAACGTTGATGCTCGCATGAAAGCTGCTTTTTTATATCATGTTAGTAAGAACCAAGCTCAATGTGAGGCCTTGGTGAGAGAACTTTTCCCACGGAATGAGATACAAATTTCTGATATTGACTCCCCCCTTGATGTGGCTGTGGTAAAAGTGAGCCAAGATCTCATAGATGATATTCCTGCGAGAGATCCTCGTTGGGTTGAAATGAAAACTTCCAGTAAGTTTGTGTTGTTTGTGTGTTTTGGGAATTAACACATTTTTATCTACCTTGTGTGTTCCTTTTAAACTAACTCTTAACAATAAGTAATAATGTGTTTTAAAATTATTTTCCAGACATAAGTTTATCCAGTTCAACCTCATTACACATTTTGAGACAAGTTGAGCAGAAGCAGCATGCTCTTGACCTTTTCTTTAATTTCCTTGTTGACCTTAAACTTTGGGAGAGACTCAGTGCTGTTGTCTCCTTCGGTGTTGTAATGGCCACTACACATGTGCTGGCTGAACAAGCAGAGAAGTTGGTAGCTGCAATTGCCCTTCATCAGCTTCAAAGTGAGCATGGAACATCGATTGAAACAGCAATTCGCCTTGCCCTGGATTTGGAAAGAGAAAGGCCTACAGGGAAGCTGAATGCAAAGGATCTTTTCTACCGTAAGGTAATTGGCTTGTTCTACTATCTGTCCAATCAATGTTTCCATTATTATTTCACAATTGATCCTGATTTTAAAAAAGTAACATTTGAAATTTAGGTTTCAGGCATCCAAAGGGCCATTCAAGTCTTGGTCAAATGGTCTGAAGACCAAGTGCACAGCGAGCGATCTCCTGCTGAAGTTGCCAGGCAACTGTCAGAAATTAATGAAATAATTTTAGAGGTTGTGAGGCAAGTTATTCAGTATCGCCAGCAGAAAGAGGAAATATTTCAGCCGAACAATCATCTAGAGGTTGGACTTTGTGAATATCTCCCTTGGACAGCATCTGCTGGACCAGGAGGACTGCGGGATGCTCTACTAAAGCAGGTAATGCATGATTTTTCTAATATCCCTATTTTTTTTCCTTTTTTGTTTTCGGTATTGCATTTTAGATATGGGCAAGAACAATTATAACTATATTTTATGTTCACAGCAATCCTTAACCCTCAAGTTTGGCGCTCGTAGCACTGGAGACCCTAAGCTCAAAGCAAAGTTGTATGATCAAGTACTGAACATTATAGACATAATTCTGGATGGTAAAAAGTGCCACCTTGAAAGTGTTCGTGGCTCAAATAAATTCACTGTTCTTTTTGAACAGTATCAAAAAGTGCGATCTAACTTAATTGAACCATTTGGTAAGAGTTGATCATTTAAATAGTGTATATTTTTCTATAGTATTGTATATTTTCTTGTTGTTGGGTCAATGTATTGGAGCTTAATGATCTTGAATATTTATTTGTTTCCAGTTGAGGACCGTGAATATGAACGTGCTGTGATGCTTGCTGAGAAATATTACGATTTCAAGACATTAGTACAGATTTGTGAAATAACAAACAATAGGGAGCGCCTTGATGTTTACATAGAAAAGTTCAAAGACCAAGACTTCTCTCAGTTCTTATTCAGCTGGTACATACAAGAGCAAAAACCTGGCCGTCTTCTAGAAACATTCAGAGCTGGCAGTGGACTAAGTGCAGCTGCTCAAAATGCCTCTCAACAGGCAGCTTTGAAGAGATTTCTTGGGGATCATCCATCTTTATCATGGCTGCAACATGTTTTTTTAAATGACTTCCAGACTGCCTCAGACACATTATCAAACCTAGCGCAACAAGAAACTGAGCTCTTGAGGCGAAAGAAGGTAATTGTGTTGTTGCCTCTGTTGGACTTGCTGACTTTATGTTGACCGATAGGTCTGCTTTCATTAGAGATTGTATTGAAGTTGTAATGTTTGACCATGACCATTCTTCCAGTCTATGCTCTCACTAGCCAAACTGGCTCTCCTAGCATCTGGTGAAACTGAAGCAAGGTCAGATCAAAGGGCACTGCTTGATGCAGAACTCGATCTTGTTGCTCACCAAGAAGATTTACCAGAATCTGTACTTGTTGCCCATGGTTATGATATTGATACGCTTCATGTCCTTCCTCCAGGAGAATTAATTCAGGTAAGACCACTGACAACACTTTTGTACTTAATTCTCAGAGAACATTTAACTTATACACCTTCATTTTTTATAGCTCTTAATTTGTAATGAAAACCAATCTGCTGATGAGTATACTTTTAAGAAAGCCTTGGATCTTTTGAAATATGAAGAAAATCAAAAGTCTGAGCTCAGGTAAGAACATTTTCTTGCTGTTTCTAGCTAGCTAACTAAACTGATTTTCTTCTCTCCTCTGCAGTTCCCTGATAATTTAAACATGCTTATATTATCAAGTTTTCTGCTTTACAGACTTAAAATTTGGTGCCAGGCAATTTTACGAGACACTTGGCTTGAGGCTGATGCAGACATCCCATTAAATGTTGTTCAGAAGACAGTCTTTTACAAATTAGTTGCTTTGATAGTTTTCATGGGTAATTTACAGACTCAACTTATATTTTGATGTCCCTTGAATTATTTTATCCCAATCAATCTAATCCATGATTATCTCTTTCCAGATATTACTGGCCAGTCTCTTAAGGAATTGGTGCCATCCAAAGACAGACTACTAGATGCCATTGAACTGGAAAAGCTGCCTGATTACGAGTCATTTAAATACCTCATCTCAATAGCTTATGAACATTTTGAAATTGCTCTCGCAGAATGATTTTTAAAACTCTTAGCTCACAAACTGGCTCACTGTGAATTATGTTTTTATTAATTGTATTATAGTTTTGTAAATAATATAATATTGAGCTAGCCTGTGTGGTGCCTCTAAACGGTGACATCTCTTCTCCATCCTACTCCCCGCCCGCCTCGCTCGCGGCCGCGGAGGCTTCACCTCACCTCATTGCGGTCCATATATGGAGGCGGGGCTTTGTCTCCAAGCCTTCCCTCTCCCCGCTCTCGCGCTCTGCGCCCGTGCTGTGCTGGGCTCTGCTCTGCTCTGGCGGCCGGCCGGCCCCAGGTCGGGTCTTGGCGGGGAGTGCTGCACTGCATGCAGCGTGGCCATGCCGGGCCCAGGGCGCCGCGCCTGCCGCAGCCGCAGTGCACTCCCCCGCAATGTAATAATGGGAGACCCGCTGCGTGGGCGATGAGAGGGGGGGGGCACCCCTTCGGCCCCGCTCGAACAAATAGGGATGCCGTTTCGGTGAAAAGCCCGCGATGATGGCTTAGTCTAGTAGCGGAGGTGGAACGTCCATAGGAAATGCTGGTTAGGAGGCCAGCCCGCAAGACCCGCGTGTGTTGCGGTACGGCGGTGGCCTACCCCACGGGCGCCCTCCTCTTGCCCTGACCACTTTGCGGACGTTCCGAGAGGAACAACATATACGCCCCGCTCCGCCGGCCTGAAACAAAAGGAGAACATCAACAAGGCGGTATGAACCTGCCAAGGATGTCGTCCGCGAGGTGCGCGCCCGCACTCGACTTCCGACTCGCGGTGCAACAGGGCGTGGTCCGGACGCGACGGGGCGGATGGCAGGACGGGTCGCGGGCCAGCCGGGCCGGGACGGGCCGGGAGGCAGGCTCAGCTGCAGCAGCGGGTCACAGTGCCGGGTGCTCGCCTCGCACTGCTCGCCCTACAAGGAGCTGGCCCGGGCCGACCCGGCAGCGCCCGCCAAGTGGGACAGGGCACCGAGCAAGAGCAAGCAGCAGCATCCCGAGCAGGCTGCTTCCTTTCCTTTGTCCGGCTCCGGCCCGAAGATCTCCCCCCCCCCCTCTCTCTCTCTCTGTCGGTGCGCTCCTTTTTCTCCCTGCTCGCGCGCCCTCGGGAAGGTGTTTTCGCTCCCGTCGGCTCCTGTACTTTCTTGCCGGGTGCGACGCAAAGCACTACTTTGTGGTCTGCAGAGCGCGGCCCTCCCCCACCCCCGCCCCCGCGGTCGACGCCCGCACGCACGCACCCGCGACTCGACACCTGTCCGGATGTGACGGGGTGCCCGCCGGCGCCGCCACCTGCACCGCCGCCACCCACACGGCCGGGGCACTACCTGTGACCGGACGAGGCGAGACGCTCCAAATCGCAAAATGATGAGAGTATTAGAAATCAATGCCGGTGCGCGCGCTGCTTGCACGAGGCAGCAGTTTGCGGGGAACAAGAGGGGGCACCTGGAAGTGTCTTTCTTTCGAGCCCCCATCCGCCCCCCCCCCTCCCCCTTCCGGACGCCGCCGCCGCGCCCCCGCGAGAGACCGCGAGGCCCCCGGAGGTGCACGGAGGGGGAGGGGGGAGGGGCTGGCTTGGCGTGCGATGGGGGCTGGCCTATTGGGGCCTACGCCGGGGCGCTCGGCGCTCCGCTACCGCATTTCACGTCAAGCCTCCGCCGAACTCAGACGCCGCGCCGCTCAGCAGCGACGCCGCTCCCCAGCGTCTGTTTAACGCGACACGACCCGGTGAGCCGAGCCAGCAGCAGCGCCCCCTCCGCCAGGGACTACGAGCACCCCGTCAGAGGAATACGCACCGCCGGCGAACAGCCCCAAAGGGATCCGAGGTGAGTGCGTGGGGCAGTGTGACACTTGGATTTAGGGTACATGGGTTGGTGTGCTGTTGCCGAGGCTGTTGCCCGTAGGCCTTACAGTATTTACTTATTTTTGACGGTTAAGAGTGTATAGGGTGGAGCGTTGATGAAGGTGTGATTGGATAGTGTTATGTTTGATTCTGTGATTTAGTGTCCTCTAGTTACCAAGGCCAGGGGGAGAACACGTCCAGCACGTTGCAGGATCTCATAGCGCCTGATGGGTAGGCAAAAACCTGTCTGCAGTGCATGCGGGTATTGCGGGGTGGCCTACCCCGAGTCTCGCAGGCGCCGAGCTCGCCTTTTTTGCCGAATGAACCTCTCAGAAACGGACGTACTTTCAAGATAATCGCTGAGCAAGTTGCGGTGCGGGGCGCACGTCAGCTGTCTGCCAGGGCAGATCCATTAGAGGCAGATCGCACACAGACCAAACAAACGCTCATCGAGTAATGTCGCTGTCGCCCAAACACAGGAAAAACAAAGATGCTATGTCCTTACCTACAGGTTTAGTGCCTCTTTACAAATGCCAAAAAATTGCCAAAGGCCCTAATTTTTATCATCTTCAGTGTCTTTGTAAACTGAAAATGTATTGAGCACTCCTGGAAAGGCACGACTATTTAGAAGCGCACCTTTGTTTCTCCAGTGTTGTATGTTGTTGGACCGGCCCATTGATCAGTAGCGTTCTTGTCTCGTGCACCTATCCTCGCAAGATATAGCGTTCGGTCGCTGCTGTACTTTCGTCTTCGTTCTGTTCCACTGGCTGTCTTTGTCAGGATCTGGTCCGGGGGCCTCCCATGGGCTATAGGCGCCTGCAGGTGAGCCCCGGAGCAGGGGGTCCGCGTCGGCGCGAAGGGAGGCGCAGCCCTAGCGCGGCGGGGCTGGCGGGGCCCCCAGGCCCGAGCCCTGGCCCCGCCGGGGGCAGGCGAGGCAAGGCACGGGGGCGGGGGGCCCGCTCGCGTGACGACCGTTTGTTTCGTCGGTCGGTCTCGCCAGCGCCCTGCCCGGCCCAGGGCTGCGGGCAAATGGCGAACTTTACAATTATAGTCGCACGGCCCTAAATTGGACGCACTTTGCATCGAGATAAGGAGGTCGCCTGTCGGTAGCCCCCCCCCCCCCTCTCTTTTACCCTCCACCCGCTTGGCCTGCGCGGCCTTCTCCTCAAAGCGACAGTTTTTTTTTTTTTTTTTTTTTTTTTTGAGAGCGAGGGAATGACCAGGAAGGTCCAATGCCAAACATTATTGTTCCCCACCCACTCGCTCTTAGCATCGGCTGATGGATGGTCTTTGTGACGCTTGCGGTGCACTTATTGCCGTCCCAAGCAGCGCCCTTCTCTGCTGTCTGTCACCTTCCTGCCCCCCCCCCCCCCCCACACACACACACACATATGCCTCAGGGGCGGGCCGCAATCATCACGATCAGACGTCTGGCCGGGCTTGACACCTTGACAATAACACGGCGTGGCGTGGCGTGGCGGGGCGTGGCGGGGGAACATGTGGGCCGATAGGTGGTGGGCAGCTTGACCCTCCCAAGGAGGCCATGCATAAGCCCCGTCCGGAGCCGAGCCGCGCCGAGCGAGAGGCGCCGAGTCCAGCCGCCGCGCGGCGCGACATGCAGACTCGTGAATCACAT